AGTTGTATTCTTCATGGTGGCGCTTTCGCCTTCTGGGGGGACCCCCTCTGTCTCGTATGACTATCCTGTCAATGGCATTTCTGCCAGTTTGAGGGGACAAGGCACCATACACGACAGAGATGAGTTACCAATCCGCCCCAGGCCCTCGACAGCGTCTCCATCATCAAGAGCACGATCGTTGCTTGCAGCGTTCGTTGTAGTTTCAGCTGTCGTATTTCTTGCTTACGCATGCAGCTTTTTTATCAGAAAAAGGGTAACTGCTTCGTCTTCTAGTCGTAGACTGGCAGACAGCTCGAGTGGGGATGAATGTGAGGACTCAAGAGACTCGAGTAGCACAGCTTCCCCTGAAGAGGCTTCGCCAGAAACCCAACAGCCAACGAGCATGCAACTAACTCCTTCTGATGAACTTCTGCTTTCCGAATCAGAAACAGTGGAACCTACAACTTCAGCACGCTCAGCAGCCGCTGGGTATGGCAAAGTGATGCCGGGAGAAGAGTCCCCACCGTCAGAGGAACGAAGGAGTCCAACAGCTCTTAAGAGGAAAGGGGAAGAACCACCCACCCCGCGGATGGGAGCAAAGCCCCCCAGACTTGATATACCAATTGAGGAGACGGCATCGCCGCCACCTCCCCCCCCTCTAGACCCTGATTTCGATGAGTTTATTGAGAAGATGTTGCGTGAAGCTGAAGAAGCCCTTTCTCCAGATACTTGGGTTTCTGAAGAAGGTCCGAGGCTCACCACGATGGATTGGGGCCCTGATTTCGAGCCCCCGGCACTGGAAGGTGACCCTCAGACGTCGGGCGCAGCCGCAGCCTCGGGGGGGCCAGCGTATGAACTGCCCCCGACGACTAGTACGTTGCCAAGCGAGGTTGAAGAGCCCAAAGAAGAGAGTGTCAGTGCAGCATTGTCACCCGCTGGCAGTTCAGGCAGCCAGATGCAGCAAGGATCGCCCCACGAAGTTGAATCCCCGCCCAGTTCAGGCACCCAGATGCAGCAAGGATCGCCTCACGAAGTTGAATCTCCGCCCAGTGGGCCTTTCCCCGATGCAGCCGAGGTGCGTGCAAGAGTCAAGAGTGTACAGCTAGCCGCAGCAACACACCCAGTGAACTGTCATTGTTTGCAGTTTCTACTGCTCTATCCAGAGTGTGACAACCGATTGGCTGCAGCCCATCGAATGCGTGCTGTGTTGTGTACCAGCAGACGGCGACAGGGTCACCTGAAGAACTCGCAGAAGGAGCAGCCGCATTTCCCAAAGAAGGAGGGGGAACCAGCTCTGAAGAAACAGATGAGGAGCCCTTGCCGTCTTCGTCCGGGGACTCTGCCTCCTCGCCTGAGCTGCCGCCGGAGTTCAGCTTCCCTGAGGACAGTGAATCACCTGAGCAGGTGCGGGTTGCTGTATCTCATGTCAGTGCAAAATAGATTTATGCTCGACGCCCCCGTTCGTTGCTTTGTTCTGACTGCAGCTGTCGTTCACCTATGTGGTCGATGCCTATCTAGCTGAAGCGCAATAGGCCGGATACGTGTGTAGCAGTTGTGGTGTGTTTCCTTCAGTTGGAGCCTGGGGCAGAGGGGCGTTCTGATGCAGACGTTATTGCCCGATTCCCGTGGCTCGGGCACAAGTTTGGGAGGTTTCCTGAAAGCGAGCTGATGCTGCATCCGTTCTACCGCCAGCCCGGTCCTCTGCCGGAACTCGGCGACAGAGCCGTTAACATGCGCAAAGTAGAACGGTTAGCCTCACGCAATGCGTACCCAAGCGTAATGCTTACTAAGTACAAAGATATATTGAGGATACCTGAGCTGACCGAAAGGGACATCGGCGAATTTATACGCCAGATAGAACGTCTGATTGGTTATGCATTGGGGAGAATGGCGGTGACGTACAAACGAAGCCAAGCGTCGTGCGCCATAGACGCTCTGGGAATGGCATTTATTACCCTCGATGCGCTGTACTGCGCAGCAGAACTACTGGGTGACCGGTCGATGAAGCAGCATTGGTGGGATCGGATAATTAGTCGCATAGAGCCTTTACGATACGTGCCATCGAGGGATACCCAGCTTACTGAGGAACGCACACGAAACGCAGACCTCGCGCGCGCGCTGGACGCCGCTCTGGATTACTTTAGGGCAGGCGAGCGGCCCGCACCTATCCTGACGATCGGCTTGAAGGAGGCATTGTTTTGTGAACCGGGCTCGTCGAAATTTAGGGGCAGNCACCTATCCTGACGATCGGCTTGAAGGAGGCATTGTTTTGTGAACCGGGCTCGTCGAAATTTAGGGGCAGGCAGTGGTCACCATGGAGACAAGAAGCCCAAAGCTGGCGAGAGTCTATGAAACGGGGTGTGGCAAGAAAGAAATAATCAGAGGGAAGTTTTGGACGCTTAAGCTGATGAAGTGCTACTCAAACTGGCGAGCACAGCTGCGTCAATGCTCATATCTGGAGCCTCATTTCCTGTGTGGTCCCAGCAAGCGACGCCAAAGCGCCGTGTGTCAGTGCTCACATATGGAGTTTCATTTGCGCTGCGGCCCCAAAAGGCGACGTCGTAGTGCCAAAAACACCTAAGGCACGTAGGCCTCCTATCTGAGTCGCATGTACATGATTTCGAATATTTGTGAAGCCCAGGCGGCTCATAATGTGGGAATAGAGTGGCAACAGCGCAGGCGCAGCACCGCCAACGCATCCGCGCGTAGGTGCTACTGCCTGCTGTAACCCTCGTCGTGATTCTTCCTGTGAAACAGGTGTTACTTCGAAAAGTGTGTGCAGACAGTGGTTGTAGCGTGAACTGCCTGGAGCTGGTATTGTGCGTGTTTGTATCTGCGCGGCTGGATACTGAGGGTTACGACAGTTGCTAGCAGTTGTTTACAGTGTTCGTGCACGCAAAAATTGTGGGATAGACCTCTTTCTAGCACGCCGTGTTGCCGTGCAGGAGGAGTTGCAACAAAGAGTGCAGCAACTCATAAGCGCCTGCCCTCTTCACCGGTGCCAGGCGTCTGTTCCGCCGTGCGGAAGACGTCTGGAGACTGCAGGAGAGGTCATCTGCTTTTTGTCAACTTTTGTCATGAGTGTTCTAACTTCTGCTGCTGTAACGAGAGTCGTCGGTTTTAGCTGACGACTTTCGTAAGCTTCAGTGAAGAGCGCCGAGTGTAGCGAGGGTTCCGAGCATAGAAACGCTGGGAGCTGCAGNTCCCTCCAGCCTCCAACCACCGTGGATACAGCGCTACAGACGCGTGGGCTGGTGCGGACAGGAGCAGGGAACCACTGGGTTGCAACGCATCGTGCTGAAACGCCCGCTTTTAGGCAACCGGGCAAGTAAACACCTTCTTTGCTGCATTGATTAACGGACTATACGATCGTTGAATTGTTCCTTACATCGCAGACGCACCGGTACCAACCGCGAGCATGTTGCAGTGTAAGTCTTGCTGCGAGGCATCAGTACTCGCAAGCGCACCCTGTTGGTACATGTACCAACACTATACAAAATTGTCCAACATCAACAGCCAGCCTGCACGCCTGTAGAAATGCATGCACCAACTACAGAGACGCCACACACCAGGTGGCCTACATATGAGCGTGAGGCGGGTATTTTTTTTGCTTCTTGTTGATGTTTTCACCGTTGGGAGAGCCTCGGTAGTTTTTGTCCTCATGAATAGAATGGAGGAATTCTTTACAAGCGAGGGGCTGAGAAGAGACAAACGGTTCCCTGCGGCTCGCTGNTGAATAGAATGGAGGAATTCTTTACAAGCGAGGGGCTGAGAAGAGACAAACGGTTCCCTGCGGCTCGCTGCTGGTGGGGCCACCCATCCATGTAAGCCACGTGGGCTCTGAACGTGGCTAATGCCATTTGGCTCTAATCCGTTAGTCCATCCAAAATGCAGTGAATCATTGTTTGTGTATTTGTATGCAGTATTTTTCATGCTCGTTGTATGTTTTCAATCACTCCAATGCTCTTCAATGCAATGTCCTAAAATTCCACCGCGCCGATCCACTGGAGCGCTCGGTGACGTCGCGGAATCCCTTCGGCGTCCTCCAAGCATCCTGAAAGAGTGCCAGTTAGTTTAATAGGAAATACGCTGTTGATGATTCAGGAGAAAATGAGCTGTTCTCATCCCTGAATGTCGAGCTTCATGTTGCCCGTCACACGGTGCGTAGTTGCCCTGGAATGATCCTGCTCTCTTCTGAAGTGGGAACGGTTTAATCCGTGGTGCTAACCTGCACCCGGATCATCCTATCTGTGCTTTTTGAGTAATTTTAGCTGTCTTACGGGCTCAGCAGTGGCCATGATTGCCCCGGAGGCACCGCTGCAATGCCCATGAGGACCCGTGCTGAGCCTCAGGTCGCTCAACGTGTTCCTCCCGCCGCAAGAAGACTTTCAGTTGGTGATATATACTTCATGGTGAAAGATTTGCAGCTTGAGGGGACCCCCCTTGTGTCGAGTCGTTCTCCNTTGGTGATATATACTTCATGGTGAAAGATTTGCAGCTTGAGGGGACCCCCCTTGTGTCGAGTCGTTCTCCTCTCCATGGGGTTTCTGCGGGTTCGAAGGGACAGGGCGTCGGACGCCAGGGAGATGAGTTGCACAGCCGTCCCAGGCCCTCCACAGCGTCTACATCACCAAGAGCACGATCGTTGCTTGCAGTGTTCGTTGCAGTTTCAGCTGTCGTATTTCTTGCTTACGTGTGCAGCGTTTCTATCAGAAGAATGATAACTGCTTCGTCTCCCAGCCGTAGGCTGGCAGACAGCTCGGGTGGGGAAGGATGTGAGGAATCAGCAGACTCACGTAGTACACCCTCACCTGCAGGCCAACAGGTTATACCCATGCAACGAACTACTGCTGCTGAAAGTTCGCACTTCCAACAGGACAATATGGAACATATAATTTCAGCACAGGCAACCGCCGCAGCGTCTGGCAAAGCGATGCCGGGAGAAGAGACCCCACCGTTTGAGGCACGAAGGAGTCCTACAGGTCATAAAAGGAAAGGGGAAGAACAATCCAATATGGAGAGGGAACCAAAGCAACTTAGACCTGAGACACCACCTATGGAGATGCCGCTGCAGTCACCGCCACCTCTTGATTCAGATATGGATTGGCTTATTGACTCTGTGTTGCTGGAAGACGAACAAGCCGTTTCCGCAGAATTTTGGATTTCCGACGATGATCCTGTGGACC